CCCATGGTACTCTACCAAGTAGATCCCTGAAGAGACCAGTCTGCTGCCCTGAAATCCATGGTAGCAAACTTGCTGCCTGACAGGGAAGGATATGCTGCACTTCTTGAACATTAGTAAAGGGCATTGTAGCCAAAGAAGGCAAAGAGATTTCTCTTTAGATTTGGCTCTGGGTGCTCCCTGCAGACACCACGTTTCACCACCTGGCTGATGGGGCTGATGAAAGGCTCCCTGGGTTTATGCTTTCTGTAGGTTTGCCTGCTTACAGGAGGAGGCTGTACAGAGCCTTCACACAGCAGGAGGTGGCTGCACCGCTGGAAGCAGCAATATACATATATAGTGATGTGTATTGTGTAAAATACACATTTATCACTCCATTGCTCTTTATTAATAGGAGGAAAGATACTAAAAAATAATCTCAACCCCAAGACACAGAATGGAGATAAAGCTGTTTTATAGCATCTGAAAGCATGTGGAAAAATTGTTGCATAGCTGGAACTTATTTGGCACTAGGGAAACTATTTGTTGAGCTGCCAGTAAAACTGTAGAAGAGGAAATACTTATAAGAAGACATCCAAACAAGCACTGAGCTTCCTTCCCATGAAAATCAAGGTCAAATAGAGTACTTGAAATCATTAGGAACATGTAAAAAATGATCCCATATTGTCACTGGGAATGATTTGGAAAACGGTTGGAAATACAAGTTTGTAAGGACCCAATAGCTTCCTACCACCCAGGGAACTTCTCAGAATTTATTTATTGAGCACAGTGACTGGCATGACTTGGGCAGAGTTCTCAAAATTCAGCTTTTGTGGACTGAAGGGTGAGCTCTGTCTGTAATACCATTGCTCTTGCTCATGTTTAGCCCAAGGGGAGATTTCATTGCTTGTTAAGTTCTATCCAGAAGACATAGCTGCATGTTCTGGCACAAACTTGGCCAGCTTCTGCAATGCAGTGCTTTGAAAATCTGTATGGCTAATCCAACTACTTAAAAGGATACAAATTTTTCTGTGGAAACCTGCATCCAATTCCTTTTATATATAAGCAGTGTCTTAACATTAGTATTTTGTGTCCTGTGGCCAGTGACATGGTCCTAAATATATTTACAAGTATTGTTGCTTATAATGTTTATACAGAAAATCAGTGGCAGTAAGAAATCAGACAACCAGCACACTAGAAAGTTTATCGTTGTAGGATATTTTTGATTTTCACTGAAGCTACACTGGATTTTTCCAGAAGACAAACTCACTTCAGAAACAGAAATAAGACTGTATATTATTACATTACTTAAAACCTTCTTTCACTTTATATTACACTTCACACAAGAGAAAGAAGGCTGTTTTTTTTTTTGTTTTGTTTGTTTGTTTCCAAAGTGAGATATATCAATATACATTTTGCTCTGGTTCCGATCGCTGTAACTAAGTCTTCTGTGATCATCTTTTGCAGCCAATATGTTGCTGGTTGTTTAAGAACTTGTGGTCATTATGGAAGATAAATGACAGTCCTTGGAGCCTGTGGCTGAAGCACACATTAGTCACTAGTAAATGATGTATAAAAAATATTCAGCTTGCAAAAAGATAATGGTCGTTCCTATTTGAAAATGCAGAAAAATGCACATATCTGGAGCACAAACGTGTCTCATCAATATCTCTGTGGGTAGAAAACTAACCTGTCAAGAAGAAAATGTTGAAGAGATGGAGATATTTATGCACTCACAGAACTGATCATAATGATGTAAAGGACTATTAAAGCAAACTTAAAATATTAGATACTACAAGTATACCACTTAATTGTTTTTTCCATGCAACATAGGAATGCTCTAAAAAAAAATAATTAGGAATTGTTCATTCCACATATTTGACCTCCAGTGATCCTGCCTTTCCATGTTTCACTGTTATCCATAAATTTAATAGTCATTCCTGGTTTGACCTTTTACTAATGGCAAAGTCCTTTGCCTCCTCCAGTGCTGGAGCTGAGGACTGGGACTCAGGGGGAGAAAGCCTGGAGGATAGATTCTGTCTTCATCGCCAGGGCTATAGCAGCATCTGCAACATGGGGATGTGGTGACATCAAAGCTGCACTCTTGTCTGGCCTTCTTCTCCCACATGAGGACTCCCACATGAGACATCACCCCTGCATTACACAGAAAATCTCACTGCTCTCCCAGAAGATGGCAATTCTGCCGTTTCATTGCTGAGGTAAATGGGTGCAATTATCCCATTTCAGGGCTCCAGTCCCCGTGCATTCATTAGCACTAGATCTTGCTGAGTGAGCCCCATCGCAGACCCAGGCTGTTGGTGTGCAATGGTTGAAGACCTGTGGTGGAGAAGGCAGCTGCCTGCCAAGAGAGGGGCATCTATTTCTGGCCAGTGCCTTTGGTCCTTACGGGCCTCTTTTCTCTGACTTTCATTCCTGGCTCCCTTAGCTTACCTAACAAAGGACCTTTTCTGCATGGCTTGCCCGTAGGGCTGAACTGACTTAAAGACTGACAGAACTGACCTAAAGACTGGCAGAACAAGACCTGTTCCACTTCCTTCTACCCTCCTTCTTAATGCTGTGGCCTTGCCTCCTCCCTTGTGCTAGATTTAGTGCTTCTCTGACTCTTTACTGGGCCATTTTGACTCACTTAGCTGGAAGAAAACAAATATAAAAATTATATATATATATTTATATATATATATATATAAAATTAACTGGATTTTTAACTCTCTTAATTTTCTGCCAGTTGCGTAAGATCAGCAAGAGGTTCTTTGAGGACTAGGGCAAGTGAGGGGAAACAGCAGAAGAATGGAAAGGAGAACAGAGGAAAAGAAGTGATGAGGTGGAGAGAGGAGGATCACTCCTTCCACAGGCAGTGAAGCATTAAAGCGGCCCAGCTGTGCCTTTGAACAGTCATTTAAGGATAGAGGTACAACACGGAAACTTAACACAAAGCTGGGAGAGCCAGCAGAAGGTCAGGCAGCAGTTTGCTGTTGCTGTAATGGCCAAGTCAGTACCCACCTGGAGTGTTGGTACTTAGACCTAGATGGAAAAATCAATTTATCAGGCTAATTTTAAATTTATTTTTCACTATTAACGACAAGTTTGGCTGGAAAGGAGAAAAATAGCATAGTGACACCTGTTGAACTTTACGGATGCCAGAGAAAGCTACCTGTACTTACTGCCTATCAACACAGAGAGGCAATACAAACTCCTTCATGGGAGGCTTTTCTGCATGTGCAATGCTCTCTGTCACTATGTGCAGCTGCTGAATGATCTCATAGATAAATATTCACCTTTGGTTCCTTCCTGGCACCCTTTGCTTTGGAGGGATGGTATGACACCACAACATGAAAGGTTATATAATCCTTCTTTTACAATAAAAGCATGTAAGATGCAAAAGGGAAAAATTGCTTTGTAGCTCTGGACATCAGTAAATGTCATATGTCGGTCAGTCAGACACTTCCCAGCTGCTTGAAACAGGACCTGAGATCTTCTTTCAGCTTCTATAAGCCATAAAAATAGGGAGGCATTTTGCAGAAAGAGAAGCCTTGGAGAATTTGCCTGTCTTTCTCTAAACCTTGCACTTAGGGAGATGGAAGGTTAGTTTAACTCCCTCGGCATAACAGAAAGCTGTTTGGCACTCATATACTGAAACGACAAATTAAACCTGCCCACCCTCTGACCTGTTCAGCTCTTCTATAATGAAAAGAAGTCAAATTCAGCATGTTGCAACTTTATTATCAGAAAAGAGAGAGAAATCTCTTTAGCAACACTTTATTTACCTCAGACATAACCTTGAGTTGTCAGCTGGAGAGGAATATGTTCCCTCTCTGTATCCACTTCACATTTCCCTTGCTTCCAAGGTTCAAATTCGAGGCAGTTTCTGTTGCTGCAGGAGAAACAACAGCGTGCTGCTGAGTGACTGGTTAAGTTATTTATAAGTGCACATTTAGAGCCAAAGACTGCAGTGTAGCATTATGTTTTCTAGATGCAAAGAACAGTTACATGTTTTCAGTTAAAATGGTTTTTATTCGAAATGAAGACACTCAGAGCCATAAAAAGTACAAAATCAAACTCAGACAGAGGCAGCCTGCTGTGCAGTTCTTATATGAACTCTGCTGCAGGAACAATGAGAGCAAAATTGCTGCTTTTCCAGGAGTACAAGAAGGGACTTTAGGAAGTTAGTCCCCCACCAGCAAAGGTAGTTACCTCACAGCTGATTATTAGAGCAGGCTGGGGAAGGGTTCTTGCTCTCATTCACAATGTTTCTGCTCTGAAAGTGTGCAACCAAAGTCTCTGAAGTTGTCATTGAAAATGGGGAAGGCGAGGGAGATTCTGGAAATGCAAAGCTCCTGTTCATCATACTTACCTTCCTCTGTCTTCTGGCTGGGGGCTTTTACTGCCAAACTCCTGGGGAATCTGGGGTGGAAACGAGCTTCAAGGCCGTCTTACTTTGCATGAAAGCTTTTTATATTTGTGCCCTGCATCCTTTGGAGCAAGGAAGATAGATACAAAAAAAAGGCAATAAGGCAATTAGAGGAGCAATTAAATAGACTGGAACTCTTCAGCATGGCAAACAACTGATTGACATCTACCTACCTGGATTGTTTTACATAAGACAAACAAAAACCCCAGATGTGTAAGTTGGGAGATATTTTTAATTGAGTACAACTTTGTGGTTTGAGTAATGTTGTCTTTTCTATGAGCACTTGACTATGGAGATTAAAAAATAATTATTCAACATAAACCCCAAACAACAGAAATCATGGCTGAAATTGTTTTAAATGTTCCATATATGGAGGTGAAGTGCAGCTATGTACTGTTATGGGGAAAATAACTCAGAGCCAGGCAGGATGCTAAGAAAAAGAGAAGTCCAGTAAGTTTTCAAAGTTTATGTCTATGACCAATATGATTTTATAAGACAAATTATCTATTACACATCCCTACAATTTGGCCCTTAGTTGCTGAGAGTCCTTTTAGTGTATGTACTTTGCGCTTCTTTCACTTTCTTCCCCACTAAGGAAGAGAAAAAGTGACCTCTGAAAAGTTTGGTGGAGGAGACAATACCTGGGATGCTGGAAGACAGTCCTGTGGTGGAGTTGGTTTGATGGCCAAGGAAGCACTCTGGGAAGAGATTCTCTACAGAGGTTTCTGGCCCTTGCCAGTTACAGTGAACCTCTCCTGGAGGTGCTTTGAAGAGAAGAACAAACTCTCCTCTAAAGGAGCAATATGAGACCCTGCCCAAGCTTCACTAAATACACTGGGAAAAAGACAAAGTTTATGAGCAAATGGTTTAGCCTATGATCGTTGTCTGGTAATTAAACTTAAGAGGTTACAAAAGAGACAGCAGCTTTTGGAAAATCATGTCCTGTAAAACGTTAGAGGTTGATGCTGATTAAAGTTACATCTTCCTTTGGAAATGGATGATTTGTACATTTGTTCTAGGACTAAAACCAAGGGTAAATTTGACTTTTGGTGGATGTTTGTGAACAGTGATGAATAGCTTATGTATTTGTTTTAAAACATCTCCAGATTACAGTTTAGAAATGGAAATGGAGAAAAGAGGCAGACTTTACTGGAATAAATAAAACCCTGCAGTCTAATTTGTCATTTGAATAAATTATATTAATTATACAATGTCTTAGAATTTTGTGTGCTGAATTTTGACAGGGTTGGCCTCCAAATTATATCCTACACTGGAGAAGTTATCACCAGATTGAAGACCCTGAGTCAAATCAGCAAAGCATCACTCCTTGTAACGTATTTTTTGTTAGTACCTTCTGTTGTAAAGGCAAAGAAAGCAATACTGTTGGTGCCTGACAGGGGAAAGAAAGGCAACACAAACAGCCTCTGCAGCATCCACACTATCCATTACGCACAAACTGGATCAGGGAGATAATTCTTCTACCAGGAGTCGGGAATTAACACAACAGCAAGCAAATGCAGGGCATTTTCTTTTCATTCATTCAGACAGCTTCTCACTGAACACTCTCAGCTTTCAAGAATTCCATTCCTCCCTGCTTAATTATCCGCCGACACTGTGCACAGGCTGTTCTATGCAGTAGGTAATCCCACTGCTGTCTGGGCATCTAACACCTCCATTGCAATGTCCGGGTCACTAGGGGACTGCTTCTTTAGAACTACTTCCTTTTCTCGGTTCCTTTTTTAAAAAAATTATTGATAACCTGCAAGCCTGAATCACTTTAACAACACAAGAAAGAATGTGAGGCTGCTTTGGTTTGAAGTTGCTCTTCTGGTGGGCTGGAGGGAGCAAATGGCAATTCATGTGAGGGAGAGCACCCTTGAGCAGCTAGCCCTCAGAGAACAAAGAGAGAGTGAATTAGGGAATGCTAATTATGAAGCACCATCTGGGGTGGACCTGTTTTATGCTCCCCCATCTCTGAGACCTTTTCCTATCTCCATACTGGAGTTTTGCAGCAGCGGGGTGATGATGCTGAGAGCTGGCATATGCTGGGAGACTGACAGCCAGATCTGCGAGTGGAGCTGGCAGCATCCCCCCCTGCTCCAGGGCGATGAGAATGGAGGCCTTGTCATGGCATAATAAAATATTAATGTGTTTGGGAAACATGTATTTCCATCACACTTGGGCACTGTGGGTCAGATCTTGTTTTCAGCGACTGCTGTGCAAATCCCAAATAACTGCTTTAACATTGGAATGTGTCTGTAAATGTGTGTGAGACTGTTTTTACACCATTTTGAGAGGTATTAGGGAATCTGACGCCTTCTACCAAAACTATTTGGAAGCTGTTGGTTCAGGAGGAGACTGGCATTATCAGGCTCTAGGGATTGCTATTTATACATATATTTTAAACTGCAGTTGTACTCAGAAAATCCATTTTAAAAATAGCAGTATGCCTTTTTATTCCCCTGGTTGCCATATGAGATGCCGTGTGTTCTCAAGGATATGTTTGGGTTTTTTCCTCCCTAACTGCCAGCACTAGAAATTCAATCTCAGGTCTGAGAGCAAATAACATTCTTGTCTTCTCACATATCATCACCAGTAATAAAAAACTGAAGATCAAAGCGTGCCCTTGGTGACACCTCTACAGCCACTTTGTCTGCAAGTGATCAGTGATTCCTCGGTAGGAATCCTGCCAGCACTTCGTCCTGGGTGCCTGAGAAAGGGCTGAACCCAGATTGCTCTTTGTGTCCTGTCTTCCTCGATAGCAAAATTAAAATAAGAGTAAACCAATTACTTTCAAAATGGAAGAGATGAGGATGTGTTTGCATGCAGTATTACCTCACTGTTGCTAGATGCAATATTGCATCAGTGTTCGTCATCTGTTGAGAAGGTGCTGGTTTTGCCTTTGTGGAGAAGATATGCACTCAATGCACCTGGACTGATAAATGTCAAAGTCTGATGTTGCTGTTCCTGTCCCTGGCAAGTCTCTTTTAGTTATGAGGAGTAGAGGAAACACTCTGAAACTTCTAAGCCATGGCTTTAAAACTGATGACTTTAAACTCTAGTGGCTTTCCCTCAGGCTGCAACTGGTTCTCTGCCTCTCCCACCTCTTTCCTGGCCCAAAGAGGATACACCCATGCAGAAAACAGGCTCAAACACCCTGATTATACAGCGTGCTTAAGCAGCTGAGAAGCATTTGACACATGACATGCTCCAATTTAAGCATTTATTGAAACAGGTCCTACAGGCAGACAGGGCTGTGCTTCCTACACCGGGTGTTGCAGACGGGGCTCGTGGTGCCCTGCAGCTCCGGTCTGTGCTCGGAGAGCCCTGTGGCTCAAAAGGACACATGGGCTGTGCTGGCTGAGGGTTCCAGCGCTCATCTTGCTGGCACCAAAGCTGCATCCAGCCTTGGATGTAAATTTAATCTTGTCGGGAGCTAATGGAGTGAGGAATTTGACACACCTTTTCCCTCTCTGTAGATGGGAGCCATATGGCCAATGTTCCTCGATCTGAAGATGAATGCGCATTAACATATGTTCTCTGGAGTAATTAAAAATGTGATCATAAACATAGTCTGACTCACTGAAGGTAGAATGTATTACCAGGGGACCCACCTCCAGCAGTGGGGCAAGATCTTTGGAGAAAATTAAGGTAATGGGAATTGGAAAATCTTTTGGGGGTTGCCAAGCCCATTCCAAGTGTGAGTTAAACTGCAGCATTTTAACTCTTTTTTTTCATATTCATGCAAGATAGGTTTGATGAGCTAAAGGGAAGCCTGTTTACACTTTGTCACTACAAAAATCCTGTGCAGATTTGTTTTGCTAGAGGCAACTACTGAAAATTGAAGTCAAGACAGTGCTAAAGAAGCAAGCATCTACCAGTTGTCCCAAATGCAGATAAAAGTACAGCAGGTTGCATCGAGCATTGGAAAGGAGGGCACCAGGAAGAAGAAAGGACACTTGTTTTGTGTAAACTATGTTAGTTTAAAGGTCTCTCAAGAGAGTTTGAATTAAAACATTTTAGGGTGTTTGAATTAAGACATTAATGTTGTGGACAGAAGTGGTTGCTGCATCTCAGCTGGAGTGAGGTAACTCACTGAGCCAGAGGAACTCCATTATATATCCAAGCCGTAAGAAATTTCAATTGCTGAGCTAGAGCTGAATTTGAGGGATGTTTGAGAATTTCACTGGAAAGTACCTGAAGACTGGATAGCCCTAGAGACAGAGAAGCAACCTCTAAGGCTGGAAAAAGAGGTTTTATGTATCTCTTACAAAAGCTGTATTCCTCAGACTCCCTCTACCAACACTATGGAAGAAGATAGAGTATTTCCTTAGGGAAGTTTAAGTAGCCCATCCTGGAACGCTCTGCAAAAAAAGAAGATTGCTGTTTCCCATCTCTCCTCAGAGAAAGAAGTAACTGGGTGTGAAAGCACTGACAGAGGGAGAGCTTTTCCAAACGAGAAACCTTCAGAGATGCTCCAAAATGGAAAGCCTGGAGCCCCACTACTTACGCTGGGTTGTGTCTGACACATCCTCTCTGTTTCAAAGAACTCTCCCCAAATTAAAAGCAGACTGAAGGCTGGCTTTGGAGTTTCACACTGGTTTTTTTTTTTTTCCTGTTTCTTTTTTTTTTCCTTCTGTCTTGTGAGACAGAGTTTCATGACGTGCTACTGCTCTGCCCTGCCTTTGGCACAGAAGGGTGAGTCTCACTGAACACCCGTTGCTGGGAGAGCAGCTGCCCCAGGGTTTGCTGGAATGGGGGTGAACCCTATGGCCATAAGATGCAACACAACCCATCAGTGCTACCAAAGGAGGAAGGGTTTGGCATTTTATCCTGTGGGGGTGAGTGATATGGCTGCTCTCAGAGCCAGGAACAGCAGTTCCCCTGGAAAGGGTAACCCAGGCCACTGGGCCATGCCTGAGGAAGGCAGCTTGCTTGTTTCTGGAGAACAATAAAAGCTAATTCCTATCATTTGTGAGTCCTGTCCAGTTCACCTAGGCATATTTGTTGCCTTCCTCCAGCAATATTTGTTTTAATATTGTATTGTGCCTTACTTCTCAGTGCTATAGTAGTGTGTCCCATCTGTTCAACCTGAAAAGAAATAAACTCGACCCCTTTCACTGAATTTTGGCCTTCTGTTTTTTGGGAGCAAGTTGCCAGCAGCCATGAGATCTTGAAGTTATGGTAGCCAGTAAAAAACATTATAAAAAGAAAAAAAAATACAATGTTTTATGTCAAAGAATAGATTTTAGGAAAAAAAACTATGAAAGGCTAATCTGAATGCCACTGAAGTTGGTGGGAAAACTAATAATATCAAGTGTAGAAGGATTTCACCTCAGGAAATAAAAAAAAAAGTGTATAGGGAATTTTCAAGGTTTCAAGATGAAATTTTTCAGTTGATGTTCATTAATATTACCAAGCAGATATTATTTAAATGATTAAAGACCCTTCTTGCTTATGACCATGAAATTCTAGACAAGGTGTGTTGATTTCTCCAAATTAATGATACATTAATGGGAAAAACAAACAAAAAAAAAGAAAGGAACGAACTCTTAAAACTAGGTTAATATCAGTTAACCCCCCCCCCCCAGCCCCGAAGTCCAAACATATCCATTTGAATTCAATATTTGGTCTGATGGTGTCTGCTACTTTAGGTTATTCTCTGTATATTTTGGAGAGCAGAGGATTTTTTTAAATAGCTTTTCTAGAGTTTCCCAACATATCATAGGTCAAAAGGCAAACAGAATAAAATGCACATTTGATATTAAATCATTTATTGCAAATACTTTGCTTAGTGAATGATGAACCAGAATAACAGAACAGATTTAGATCTTCTGCTCCTCTAGGTCATGATATATTACTGTCTGCAGGCCCTTTCCCATTCTTTACCCATTCACGTCTCCATAAAATGTCTTGAAAGGAAAGTGAGTAATAGCTCAAGTCCTGATGTCCAGGCACTGTCAAATGGATGGAGAAAAAAATGTGACAAATGTAAATGTAAACTCCACACTGCTATGCAATAGTAAGGCATAATTTGCATAAATATTGTTTGCAAAGAGCAATTAGCACTTCATTTACATTCAGTGAAGTAGCAATTT